CAACCAACTATTTAATTAACCTAGTAATTATGTAGGACTATTGGCTACATTAAATCATTCAAATGCAAAATAGGTAGATTGTATAATTTTAGATCTTATTTCCAAATGTTCTGTGGGAGAGAGCTGGTTAATCAAAACAGGAGCTATTAAAAATCTTTAAGTAATTCGTACAATTAAAATCAGTATTTTGCCTACTCATTGGTGTTACAGTTACAGAGATATTGTTCCAAAGGAGGAAGCAAACTAAAATTTCCTTTTAAGCATGTGGTCTTAACCTTGCACTTCTTGGCTTGATGTTTGACTCAAGTAAGTTTCCAAGAGGCATGTTCTACATTCAGWTTTGGACTTTAATTCTATTTTGTGCTTGTACACACACAAAAACTAAACTAGAGAAAATTGACTGAAGTATTTTGGAAAAATATGTACTTTTCTGTACAAATTTAGATTAGATAAATGTATAACAAAATATTTTTGTTCTGTCTTTACGGGACTCCTGTTCATTTTTTTTTTTCTCTAGTGCTGTCTAAGCCTGTTATTGTACTATATTGAAGTTTGTGGAGAAAAGTTTTAAAAAAAAAGTAATCCAAAGTATTCAGAGAGTGAAATATGGCTTTAAATGTATTCCCRTTGACAGTATACATTATAAAACTCTTTTACGTTTTAAGCAATGCCATTTTTAGTAATTTCAGCTGTCTGCACATCTGTGTGTATTTCTTCCTTGTAATAAATACTGCTTGAGGAACTACACAAAAMGTAATAATCCAAATAACCAAAAATTAAAATAAAAAGCCAAAACATGGCTTGGACAAAATTTGACTAGGTTTTGGAAGGGATCATCTTTCTATCACATTTAGAAATAAGCAGGTGCACATTCAGGATTTTCTCTTATGMACATTCATCTCTTGAAAGGAGGAGCTTTTGTTTGCTAGGGAAGTTCRCCAGGGTGCTTATGATCCTAGAGGTTTTTACATATTTTGTGATGCATCCCTTTTTTTGCCATTTATTTGTTTTTTCCCTTCTAGTTGGCCATTCCTAGCATCTCCGCAATCAGCCTGCTTTGTTGTCTAATCCTGAATTTATGACTTTGCATTTGCTTTCAGTATTTATGTTCTACAATTGTTTGTATAGTAGGCTATTCTACTGTGAGAAATCTAGTAGGGTTGAAAATTAAGGACCATAAAGGTTTATGTTTGGATTGATTATATGTGAAATAAGGAAAAATTCCCCAAAAAATAATTTTAAAATCTGTTAAGTGCCTGCAGGAGAGCCAAAATTGCATTTCATTTAGTTAATTTTTATTTCCAATGTGTGTTCTGGTCTTTTTGTTTCCTTTGAAGTTAGTGCTTTTTCTGTTCCATTTCCCCATTCCTAATCAGTAAGTTTCTGATCTAAATTATTAAAGTCTTTTGATCGCATGYGGGTTATCTTTATAACCATATAGTCTAGATTATACAAAGTTCAGAACAGAGATCTAATGTTTAATGAGAAAATAATAATTAAAAAGCTATTTTTTCCCCCTCCTAATTTCCTTTAAAGTTGTAGTGCTGAAGAACATTTCTTAGAAACTRAAAAGAAGAATCAATTTTCTATTGCAAAGGTTTTTTTATTGAATTTGTTAAAGTAATCCTTTACTTTAAACTTTAGGTCTTACCTCTAAAGATCCTGCTGCCATGATTGTTTGCAAAACAAACAAAAATTTCTGAGTATGGATATTTGTGAAAATTAAAAGTTGGAATATTTAATGAACCATATAATTATTTTAGTCAAAATCTCTGTTCCGGCTGTAAACACAGAGAAAATAGTAACCCTGTCTCCCTTGAAAAAATAGGAGTTCATAAAAGCACAATTTTTTCCATTGAAAGTGTATTATTCTACCCTTGATGTAGAATAACACTGGATAGAAGATGAAAATAATTTTTACTTCAGGATAGTACTTAGAATCATTATGGTGTAGGGACTTCTTAGAATATAAAAGTCCAAGATGTCCTTATTGAGTCAATTATAAAATACATATTACAAAAAAATATACGTGTGTGTACACACTTATGTGACCTGTCTGACAGTGGTGCGAAAGACAAAAAAATGTTGTGTTTTAATGGAAGAGAATAGTATCAACAGAGAAGGCTGTGAGTTTCCTAAGATTTGTTACTTGTTACTCAAAATACTTGTTACCGACCCAACCCAAAAAACCCCTCTGTGTAAAACCAGTTAAAAATAATTACCTACAATACTATTACTGGAAATGTCTTGCAACAGTTGCTTTATCATTAATCATATTTGAAAAGATAGTTTGGCAAAAATTTCAAGCAGTCCGAGGCCGTGCTCATAGAGGTTGCTTTCTGTCTTTGCATTGCTACTTGTTCTGCTCTATTGGTGATTAGATRGTTCTTTTGTACCTTATTTTCGCTTTTTCATTCTCTCCCATATATTCTTTTTATCACACTGCATTTTGTTCTTAAAGCAACTTGCTCTAAGCCTCCCTGAATTCTTGCTGAATGATAGTTTTTACTTCTGAAAAGTGCTTTTTAGTTATTTTTTTGAGGTTAGTGTTTTGTTGCTTTTCCTTTTAGTGTGTATCTCTAATTTCTAGTAGTAGCCTGCTTAAGTGCACCCTTATCTTCAAGTGATAAAGATAATCGTAATTTCTTCCATATTATTTCCTAATCACCTTTGTGGAACTAATTATACACATTACAAGACCTTAGCTTGTTGATTTGGAGTCTGACATTTTGTGTTCATAATTGACTATTTTTCCCCTCTGATCTTCTTTGCTTGCGCTTTGGTGGTGATCTAGAGGTGCAACTAATGCTCCTAGTCTTAGTTGTCAATTATGCTTTTGTGAAATTAATTAAAATACATGGACTGCATAGTTGTGGTACAACTAACTTGAAAACAGTTTTTACATTTTGGAACAATTATATAAATCAGGTGAAGAATAATACCTTCCAGTGTTAGTGAAGCAATTTGAATTGCTCCAAAAAGAGGCAGCAGTCACAGCATTTGAACACAGTAGAAATAAGACATTRTAAGAAGTCTACACTGGTGACTTGGCTATCCCAATTTTAAGTTGCATTGTAAGTCGATACGTTGTGAGCTGAAAAAACTTGCCTTTCATAAAACTAACCAAAACATTGTCATTTGGTATATCCTGGGTTCATCTTTCTCTTGGTCCTTTTTCCTTTTGATGAGTTTGAAGCRTTTCCCCATTTGAGATGTAGCCTCCCCTTTCAGGAAGGAAGATGTTTGTCATTCTTGCCATCAGTTCATTTTTAAAGGGCACAAGATTAAAGCTGTGGGTACTTGGCTAAAGGTCGTGTATATATATATATATATATATATATATGTAAGCTCAGTTTTGGCATGTACATTTGAAATTAATTTCTTGATTCTCTCAGCTTGCTTTACTTATAAGCCTTATGCTTTGTTGTTCGAAAATAGAATATGCTCCCTTTGGTTCTGAATGAAAGATGCAAAAAGGTGTGTTGAAATCATTATCAGCATCTATCATTATCAGCCAGCAAGTTCTTCAGACCAATCCCCCCTAAATGTGTATTAATGATGTGGGGATTCTCAGCATCAGTTAAATGCTTTATGAATGCACTTGTAGTAAGATCTGGTGTCTGCAAATGCAGGTGCAGCTGAAGTGAAGCTGCAGTGAGCTGCCTAATCTGACACCTGTCAAAGCACTGTATGGTTTGTGTACAATACAGTACATATCATTSCATGTAAAATTATTTTCCTTAATAATTTTGATTTCATAATGTTCGGGTACTTTCGCTCTGTAAATTTTGCCCCTGTTTTGGTCTTAATTGCTTGTGTATCACTTACGTTACTGAACTTTACTAGTCAGGAGGTCTTTGTTAAAGCCTCTGCTCTGTTTAATATATTCAAGTGGCTTTAAAGGTAGTTAAAAGATACACTAGTTATACGATCAACTGCCTGTAGTTCCATTTCATTCATTTGAAAAGGGTTATCTCTAGTACTCTTTCTCAATTTTTCTCCCTTGAACTATTGGTACTTACATTTGATAATTAGTTGGTGCATGTTAAAACCACAGGAGGTATGTGTTGCTTTRCAAAGTACCTGTAACATTTTTCTGTTCACTCCATCTACTTGATAGTGTTACTAAACAAACATGGGGGTAGAAGGGCAGAGTGCTAGATTCTAAGGCTTTTATTAGTGTTGTAGTGAAAGAGGAATTATTTTATTTCTGACTTCCCCCTAAAAGGAGCTGGCTTTTGTTTGATAAGCAATGGGAAAAGAATTGTTTGCTAGAATTGAAGATGTAAACAAAAATTGAAAACTGTATTAGTGGGTTTTTCCTCTTTTTTCTGGTCCTTAGGAAGGGGGTATATTGGTGATTAATCATTTATATTAGCTTTAAATTGTGCAGRCAGTGTTGTCAGAATTTTTAAGGGAGGGTGAGTGAGATGAGTTTGTGTTAGCCCTTTCTGGAAAGGGTCTGCCAGAAGCAAATACCCTGTGTGCAGTTGTGGTATGAAAATCCTTTGAAGAATTCAAATTCTTGAAAATTCTCTCAAGAATGCATGAGGTTGGTTKGAAGTAATTTTTTTAGAAGACTCAAAACTACAGTATAGAAATCAGTTGTCTCTTCTTCCTAACAGTAGTTAGCAAGTTTCAAATGAGCAGTCTCTACAGGATACTCAGGGAGCCTGGTAGAGGAGTGCCAACATGGAGAAAGTTTCTTGGATGAGGGCCAGCTTAACAAATGCAAGCAGGCAAGCTTTGTGTCCAGACTTGTGTTTCAGCTTATGCGCATGGATTTAATGTCCTTAGAGCTCAGGCACTGTGGCATAAATTGCAGCAAAAGTACTACAGTACAATGTGCTYGGTTTCATTCGCTGTTGTTTTTGATGTTGTAGGATTAAGGGGAGGGGAAAGGATCARCTACCCAGGATGCTCTGTTTGGAGGAGTAAGTGAATTTCATTGTCGTCAGAACTAGATTGCCATATGAGTTCTGAAAAGCGTTTGGCCCCTGAGGATAACTRCTCTAAAAATAGATTTGGAGGAGAGGTTTCTCTTGGGTCCTGTTTCGGGTTCCAGCTGAGCTGGCTTTAGGGAACTTGTTTGCTCCTGTTGCAAGACTACAGTGAGGATATTTCTTACTCTGTCTTCAGCACTAATTTTTGGAAATACTGACACACTCGCTCTGTTGGTGGAATTTGAGCACTAATGTTATGGCTGACGACACAGGTATATTCCTTACCTCTTTTTTTGTGAGCAAATGGGAAATGTGTACTTGCAAATACCAGTTATGTCTGATTTTATAATCGGCAAAGTAACTGGCTTACTSTTGTATGTTTTCTTGCCAGTTTGCTGTTCTAGTCTGTTACAGGCTGCCTCTGTTCTCTTTGATTGCATGTTCTCTGGATTGGGGGTGTTCCATTATTTTATTGCAGGTGGTTAATTGTAGACARTTTTTTGCCTTATAGAGCATACATTTATATAAGAGACATTGTTTTGTCTTCAAATATCTGACTTCAAAGTTATTTTTGGAGTATGTGAAATTGCTAGGTGTCTTGAAGGTAAGCTAAAGTAAGGAGTTTTCATACATTTTTAGCTAGATGTGATTTAATGGGGGGTGGGTGATGTATAGGATTTTATAGATTTGCTGTTGAGCAATAGACCGTGCTTTAAGACTTTCTGATGTCTGCATAAAGACATCTGGTGGTGTAAGCACAGGCTTACCAGATATGGCAAGTGACCTACTTCTGACATGGCTGGCAGCATGTGCAGGGAAAGGGCTTGAGTTGAGAATTAACTGTTTGGAATGAGCTCTGAGCCGGCTTCAGTCCTCACAGTGTTTTGTTCTCACCCTGCATGTAGTGTTATTTGTGCAGATCATAGGTAATTTTTTTTTTTTGTTACATAACCTCCATTTATATAAAAGCGTTGCGTGATCAAGCTGCCATGGCTGAGTTGTTATTCAAGAGTTTTGTAAATAATTTTGCTATAAGATAGAAAACCACGGCATAAAAATGTATCTATAATATTGTAAACTATGTTCTTACAGMAGAATCTATTTTTGAGGAATTTGCATTAAATAGTCTTTTATACTGGAAAAAAATAAGAATAGCTCTGCTTGATTACTTAAATAAATTGTCTTCTCTTTCATTTTCCTGTTATTCTGATAAGTAAAGCTTCTTTCTTCAGAGGCAACTGGCAGTAAACAGGCAAATGAGTGTGAAAGTCAGTAAGATTCTATTTCCTGTGGTGCTTAAACCAATTTGCAATCTGGAATAATTTAGACCGTATTTAACCTAAGGGTTTCATTTTAGGTATATACAAAACTTTCATTGACTGCCTTGATACACAGGTGTAGTGAAGTCCTGCTGTTACATACTGTAATTGTTTATGTCTCAATAGAAACATTAYCAGCTCAAGAGTTCTGTAAGTCATATTCATACAGTTGAGCATATTTCTGAATGCAGACACTGCTTGTCTATCCCTCAATTTTTGGGCTACCCATACATTTTCCACAAGAGGCATCATACAGTGAACTGTGTATATGGACCCTGAAAATATGTAATTAAAGGAGTGTGCAGTCGCAAATGATATATGCCTGATGTGAGGCTAAGTTGTCTCAGTTTCTCTCTGAATATTATTGGCTATTTGTGTTTAATGTAGAAAAGAAACTACATARTTGGTATTTGTTCTTTGAAGGGAGTAGTCTTAATAAAAGAATTCTTTTCTTCAATAAAATGCCAAGCTGAGTAAGAGTTGACATAGTTCAGAAGATTTTTATTGGTCTGAACTTGGTATAGAACAATGAATGTAATAAAAGAGTATTTTATTAYAGCTGTAAACCTGATGGCAAGCAGGGTCAGTACTTGTATGTAGTACCTGTTACAAAAATAAGTCAGTTACGCCATTTTATTATAAAAAGCACTTGTGTTGATATTCAGCTTCTGAGAGTATTTTTGGTCTTTTTCTACGATCAGTGTTGATAAATATATCAAACATAACTTGGAATTAGTATGATAAATGTAGCTTCTTACCTTACATTATCACAAYATTCATTACAAAGTTTCTTGAAACATTCTTTAAAACATGGGAGATAGTTTTGCTTGAATAACTGGGCCTGCATGTGGCTGAACAGGCARAAGTTGGTTCGTAGAATGGAATGAAGTGGAATAGATAATGGGCGTGAAAATGCAGCTAAGTGCCACCCTGGCAGCACTAATGTCAGGGGGCAGAAGAGCAGACCTTGAGCTTTAGAGGAAGGCCACAGGCAGGCACGTTTTTGCATACGTATTTATTTATTATATRTATCTGTATATGTATATGTCTTTCACCAGAACACTCCTAAAACAACAGACCAAGCAATTTATGTCTTTAGTGACGATTTGAAACTTGTTAGGCATATGCTAGATCAGGGTTTGTCTTTCCCTATACAACTACGATAATTTTTATGTAATTTATTTTCTGTATGCATAGTTATAAATGAAACAGTGATGTGTGTTATGTCTCTGTGCCATCCTTTCACTTGTATGTTCCATAGGATTGGAATTCTAGAGTTACTTAGCATGGAGCGAATCTCTGTTTAATTCTAAGCATCAGGGAAGATGGTTTTAAATGGTAAAATATCTAAATTTGAAATCTTACCCTTAACATAGTCCAGGTTTTAGAGTTTTCTGAGGCTATTTGAAATGTCACATTGGTTCTGTGTGCTATTTCAAGTAATTTTGAAACTCAATTTAGGAGAAATATTTCTCTTGCAAAGCCTTTCTGCTCTCCATAGTGTCCTCTGCTGGCAGTCTGGGAGCTTCGGGGAGCAAATGCAAGGCATCTCAAAAATGTGAAGCTCTGTGTAAATACACATCAAAGGGAAGAAAAGCAGAATTTCCAGCTAAGTTGTAAGACAAAATAGGTCAAGGCTTTGGGTGTTTYGTTGGTTATGCAGCTTTTGCCTAGATAATCATCAAGCTTCTCATGGTAATTCACAGTGAAATGAAAGGCAAGTAAAGTAAAAGTGGTGAAGTTTAAAAAAGCCCAACCAACCAAAAAACTTCAGAACAACAAAMACCACCAAAAAATTGTTGCCCAAATGTCTTATGTTCTGTGTAGTCATAAGCAACGAGTTCAGTAATTATATCCTCAATAATAATTTTCTAACTCTGACATCCCTTTTTTTCCTTGWCTTATTTTAACAGAGACTAAGCACGGAGGAGGCAAGAATGGAAAGAAAGAAGGCTTCTCTGGAAGCTCATTTTTCACCTGGTTTATGGTAATTGCTTTGCTGGGAGTTTGGACATCAGTAGCAGTTGTCTGGTTTGAACTTGTAGATTATGAAGAAGTTCTAGGTAAGAATTTTAAATCTTCAGATTTTCTTCTAATAATATTATGATATGCATTAAATGAATGCCATTTTATATTTTTAAATAGATGATTTGTCTACTACAGTGTTTGCAAATGACCTACATGAAAAGAATAGACAGTGTAGTTCGAAACATGCTTTAATGCTGAACACTRTTATGTTAAAATGGGGTTCTCATGAAAGGGTATGAACATCCTGCAGGATCTCTTTGTAACATGTGTAATGTAGTTCATTTGAGAAGTCAGCTAAATAGGCAGTCTGAATTTAAGCTCTCAGAARCTCGCAGCAGTGGTTGAAAGTGAGCAGCTAATGTTAGCTCTCCTCTGATGATGGACTGTGATGCCTGTAGGATCAGGACAACTGATCAGTCATCCTCTCATGAGTGAGTTGTTGAATGACCTCAGTTTTAAGCTTGTAGCAGTGATACTTATATCTCAATATGACAATTTGAGATAGTACTGTTAATATAATATTAAAGGTTACAAATTAATATCTCAAATTTCAAGATGTATGTCCAAAGCTGATATCCCTGATRTTGTAGGATTCAACATGCACTTTTGCAACTGGTGGCTTTACAAAATTTACAAATCTGTTTGTACATGCTTTTTTTGATCTGGACTGATTTTTTTAAGAGAAGCTTCTGATTTCAAGCTTGATTGGGTCTAGTGATGCAAATAATGTTTTTTGTATTTTTACCATGCATGCAGCCAAGGCAAAGGATTTCCGTTATAACTTGTCAGAGGTCCTACAAGGTAGGATATTAGAGAAATGTCCTTTACTGTCTGCTTTATAGTCCCTTGGCTGAAAGTTTTGGTTTACTTCTTACGGGTTTGAATTTTTGTTAAGAATTACTCTTCTTCTGCAATGACATGAAGCTCAGTCATTTCTCATCTGTCTCATTCTTCATGGTTCTGAAGATGATACAATTCTTATTTCTAGAGAGTTAACATTTTTGCACCAGTCTGCTGTGTTTATCCATAAATTGATTTGGCTCCTTTCTAATGGGTTGCTTTCATACTTTGCTTCCAATATTTTTGTCTATTCTAGACCCAAGTCTGATTTTTTTCTTCCACAAAATTGTTTTTGAATTTTCTAAGTACCATATTAAGCACTATATTTCATTTATTTTGATAGCAAGAAAGTTCTGCCTCCATTTGGAGAATGACAACTGTAGTAAACTGTCAAACTATAAGGACACAGAGTTCTGCAAGGTCTGCAGAGTTTGATCCTGTTGAAAGTTGTGTCTGAATTTTATCAAGCCTATAATTAGATAACTGTCTACTTGTTTCCTGGTCCCAGGACATCAAATCCTGGATACCATGATTCTATGCTGAAAATTCTCTTTTAATAGAAACTGAGTTCTCCTTTTGTATGTACTTAAGGCTGATAAGAGTTGCAGTTTGAAAAACAAAAAGTGAGAAAACTGCTTTATTAGTCACCTTTGCAGAAAACTGCTTTATATGTCTTTCCTTTGTCTGGGAAGTAGGCTGCTTACTTTCTATTAACTTGGCCCTAAAAATTAAATACTTGTATACCTAAAAATTAAATACCTGTTTTCTGAGAATTTAGAATTGCAGGAAGTATGTAATCAGAAAAGAAGTGTTGATTATTTCATGAATTTTTGTCTTATTATTTTACCTCACATGTGTTTACTATTTCTTATRAACTTAAATTTTATTGTGAGAAAAGCATGTCCACGTCAAATACATAGTTACAGACTTGTTTTAAACCTTCAGGCTGCRAAATAAATGTGCAGAAAAAAAGACAAACTTGGTGTTTGGTCTCTAGTCCAGGAAATACAGAAAGAAACTTGAAATATTTGTAATATATCCCGGGAAATTAAAACTGTGATTAAGAAGATTACAGCTAAATTGTTAAATAACATATGGTAACCACCTAACATTGACAGTCAACCATTGCACATTGCACRCTGTGCTGGAAACAAATGGCCAAATCCCTAATTGTTTTTTCTTCCTCTCTTTACACTTCTAGGCAAGCTTGGGATATATGATGCTGATGGAGATGGAGATTTTGATGTGGAAGATGCTAAAGTATTGCTAGGCAAGTACAAATACAGGTGGAACAAGCTATGTAATTCAGTTGGCATTTTCATGTTTGGCTTTTTTCTTTTTTTAAAGTCAGACCATCATTTCTGATTTGTTTGGGGTTTTTTGGACTTAYAGTGATTTAGTTGTGATATATTTTTTTCTTAATGCAAGTTGTAGGATTAGGTGTGTACCTCATAGCAATTTTTCTTTTTCTTCTAATGTAGCCATGTTAGTGGAAAGCATTTAATTACCTAGAGGACGATTTTGAAATTAGGTGATTGATTCTGCTGTATTGAATGTTGAAAGATAGTTGTAATTATGAATAAGTTTATCAGATGGAGGATGTAAGGTGCTTCAAGAGTGGAAACACTGTTTATGTTAACATGTTCAGGTCCACTTTAAAATGACTACAAACATGCCTTTGTACTTCTTAAATGACTATATGTGTAGTGTATTTTGTACTGTCTTTCCTCTATTCTGAATTCTCCACAAGTCTGTTCATTTTCTTTGCTCTTCAGAGATAGCACATGACATGAATTCTTTTCTGACATTGAAACACTGGGTTTAGGTTTCTGTTCCTTGTAATTTGTGAGAATGTCTTTCTGCTCACTGTGTATCTTCAAAGGGAAATTTCAATCACTAGACATRCTTTATGATACTGTTCTTTTACCTACATCTTTTAAAGCACTGCCTTCTTCAGCTTCAGTCAAGCATTGGATAGATACTTGTTGCATACATGATGGTAGAAAATTTACTTAATTTACTTTTCTTTAGTTGTTTTTTTTTTCAAATTAAACCTATGCTGAGCACACAAACGTGTCAAATTAAACAAATGAATAAAACAACGAAACCCCCTCTGCTTGAGCAGAGGACAAAATGGAATGTATCAAACTAGTCAAAGTTTCCAGTAGTACATTAGGATGTTATGCTTTGCTACTTGAAATTTATACTCCATAAAAATCAGCTTTATTGGTAATTTAGTTTGTTCTACTTTAATATCGAGAAGTAAGCGTTTGGGAGGATGTGTGTTCATTTTTTGAATCCCTTCACAGTTTATAGAAAGCCCATGTAATCAGCTGAATCAGTTTGCAGTGGTGTGAACGTGAGAGTCACTCCAAAGAATCTCCAGCACTCTGAATGGCTTCAGAGCTACAGATTGGGTGCTTATTATAGTTGGTGACTAAGATAATACTTGGTCTAGTTATAATCCCAGTCTTTCCCTTTCAATTCTGTAGTGTATGGAAAATGGATATCCTTTCCTTGGAAGTCACGTACAGAAACATTCTGCTGCTTTGTTATATCTCTGTTTTATGCAGTCTGATATAGCCAGGAGTTCTGCCAGTACATGAAAGTGTTTCTATTATAAGCTTGTCTTATCATGCATTTAAACCTAATACTTCAAATGTGACATTAAAAGGTCACAGATCAAAATTTATTTTTATTATTTTTGAAAAGTTGCTTAGAAGTAGGATTTAGTCTCATTTAAATTTGAGAACAATTTTTGCTGTATGGAAGAAATATTTTTTTTTTAATTTTGTGACACTGAGAAAATTTTGAATACAAAAATATATTTTTTCTAATTACTGGCATATTATATTATTAACTGAACTTTCCTGTAAGTTAACATGCTTGTTTGTATTTAAAATTTAATATGAAATAAAAATGAGCACCACAGTGCAGACTGAAATTATTTCATTGATTAGGAAACTAGAAGACTGAAGAACCCTCTGGAAGAATTTGTCTTCCAGAATTAAATCGAGTAGTAAAGGAAACTGTATAGTAAGCCTATATTCAACAGCTTTAGGGTAACTTTCTGAATATTGAATGCAAAGCTCCTTCTCCTTGTGAGGATTTTTTTAGTACATATGCTGTATTTGAAGGCTTATTATTTTCTGGGATTTTTCTCTGGGTCAGACTGCTATAATAGCAAGTGGTTTCTCTGCCCCAAAATGAGTAACTGCAGTCTGATGTTTAATGATAGGAATTCATATGTTTTTTTCTTTTCTGTTCTTCAGCTGTTACAGCACTAGTATTATATTTTGAAGTTGTGACATGCACAGTGGTTTAATGTTGTGCACTTCCATAACCTTTAGTTTTTACTRCAAATATCAAGATTGAATTTCATATTAATGGTAAATATATTTTAATTTAATTTTGAGAAATGGTTATATCAGCATGAATTTATTTTGTATTTCAAATAATAGTTTAGTAGCTGATAATTTAATAGTTTYCTGTACTATTTGGCCATACCTAAATGGAAGAATTAAAATCTATTATTTTATTTATTGTTTGTATAAGGTATGATAGGATCTGTTCTTTGTATTTGTTGGAATCAAAGGAGGTTTCATAATTAAGTTTTCTTAAAGGATTTGGGTAATTTTAAAATTGGTGTGCGAGAATTTTGTTCTTCCCCTACTATCGATGTAAGAGAGGCAAAAAAATAAAAAAAAAATCAAACCACCTACACCCCCTCCAGCCAACCAATCCCAGGTATTAATGGAGTATTGTAGCATTTATACAAAAATTWTCTGTAATGAAAATGTGAACTTGTTGAAGCCAGTCTGCCATTATCTTGCAGATTTTGKTTTTTTCATAGATATTTGTGAGGTTCTGTTTACAGAATTCCTTCTGCTTATGGGAGGAGAGGCTTTGTACTCGGCTCATTTGCAAACAAAGTGCTGTTTGCAGTACTTTGCTTCCCAGTTTTTGACCACTTCACTCTGATTGTACTTTGAAGAGTGTTTTTCTCAGTGCTGTACATCTGAACTTGCTTTAGATCAGTACAGAGAAATAGTGGCCTTATTGGTATTACCAAAGAATGGTATAGGSGTACCAATGTCTGTTGTGATAGTTACTTTGGAGCCAAGCAGTTTCTTTTGTACTTCAGTCCCTTTTACCAAGCAATATCCTGGGACATTCTGCTAAAATGGTTGCAGTAGTTAGTGCAGTTTTGGAACTGTAACAACAGAAAATAATGACCTTATTGTTCTCGTGCATTTAGTTTAGAACAGTCCAGCTATGCAAAAAAATGGAAAACCCCCATGCTAGTGTATCAGCAGTCAAAGGGTGATAAGCAGTAGAATCCAAGTTAAAAAACATTTCCCCTGTTTCACCTACAGTAGAAAAGTTAGTTCGCAGTCTCTGACATTGCACATTCAAAAAATCTGTAGTGAGATAAGACGTGTGAAAAGAATGCTTTTGCACAGTTCAGCTGTTTAGGATAGGGTTCACGCTCTTCCCTATTTTCTCAGGTTATGCTCTATCACTTTCCAATATTAAAGGTTGGCCTGTGCTCATTTTCATAAAAAGAAATGTTTGCAGGAGAAGAAAGGCTTTGTCTTGTTAAATGCATATAGGGAGGTCCTCTGCCTCACTGCTTGTGGTAACAATTGAACAGACAAATCTTTTGACTGCTTCATTCACTTGGATTTAAGTTGTGATGTTAAAACTTCTCTTGAAATAGTGACTGTATCATGTGAGTCCCTGCTTTAGCTGGGTATGGATGTCTGCTTGGGCAGCTCTGGCTTTGTCAATATTTTCAGACACTTGTTAGGATGCTTTTGTGAATTTATCAGTTTTTACTTGGAAAAGCAATTCTTCTTGATTATGGGGGTGAATGAGAATGAAAGACTATTGATTAGTTGGGGTTTTTTTTGTGCTGTTTCTTAGAAAAAAACGTAAGCATATGAAATACTGTGTTTTTTTTCTTTAACTCAGGCTGAAGTGTTGTCTGAGGGTTTTTTTGGTTTTGTTCTTGGGTTTTATTTTTTGTTAAATTCAAAGGCCATTATCTCAATCTTGGACAGTTTTTGCAAAACTTTGTAAAGAAAGGATATAAGGTTTTGTTGTATGGTGTTTTTTTTTGACAAAGACTGTAGGACACATTCTTCGAGTTCCCTTTGGTGTCCTAGTATTTCCAAAGAAAATATGCTGCTGTACTCAATTTCATAAAGGTCATTGCCCAAAAGTCTTATTCTTGACTWAGTGCGAGAACAGGGGGATCTATATGATTCTGCATATGCTTACAGAAATGGCTTCTAAAGCCTGAGGTCTTTTGGGAGTAGTGTGGTGTTTTYCTGGGTGGGGTTTTTTTTKTGTTTGTTTGTTTTCTTTCTTTTTGATTTTATGCAAGGTTCTGACAGATTAAAATGACACAAGTATTTATAATTCTTTATTTATAATTTAGATTGTACTTTTAGGATTTTTAGATTCAAATTTCCATTCTCCAAYTGAGATTTCATTCTTCAATAAATATCCTTACTTCAGTTTATGTATTTACCTTGATCCAAATTTTGAAAACTAATCAGAATGACGACTGACTACTGTGCATAAAGTTGTTTATAAAATTTAATTTTTATAGAACTAAGCCATGGAAGAAGTTGGAGAGGGATATTTATAATACCTTGATTGCCTCCTGGAATCAATCTGTCATTTTTAAACCTTTGGGCTATCCAGTGAAAAGTTAAAGAGAATGGCTGTCACTCAAGTAGAGGTTCTGGACATCCAGGTACAAGGATGTGGAATATCATGGACTTGGAAGTTTCCTCAGAATTATCATTGATACTTTCACTATGTGCTGTAAGGAAAACATGTTGAAATGTGTTATATGTCTCTGCCATGAACTTCTTTATCTTGAATGTTTCATTAACCTGCATCTAATATTGCTTTGTAATCTGCATGTGCAACATGTTCACTTWATTTTATGTTTCAACAATCTGTCTTCACCTTTAGCTCACTTTTCTGCTTGTCCTTTCAACACAAATGAAGRTTTGTTCTGGTTAGAAGTGGGGGAAATTCTTCCCTCTGCAGCTTTAAAGCACACTAGTAATTGTTTGTTGTTGCTTGGTCATTCTGTTCTCCTTTTCCTAGAATGGAAAAGTTGAAATGTTATTTAGTAACAGCTGTAAAACAGTGATTTAAGTTAAAAAAACCCAAACCTAAGCAACACCCCACCCCCCCCCCCAAAAAAAAAAAAAAAAAAAAAAAAAAAAAAAAAAAAAAAAAAAACAACCA